ACTGCTACTGCTACTGCTACCATTGCAGCTGCTGCTGCTGCCGCCCGTTCCTATCGTTCTTTTTTTCACACTTAGCCCACATCCGCAACATGCATATTGGATCAACTAATCATACACACCTTTCTTTGTTTATCCTAGCTCCGTTCTTTCCGTCTTTTGCTCTGAAAGCCCTACACCCCAAACCCTAAACCCCAAAACCCAAAGCCGAAATGTCTTGACACTGCGGCCGGTCATTGTTCACAGCTGATCAAGACCTGGTGCCCCGGGTCCCCTGAAGACGACGCGCCACTTGGTGAGCGGCTTGGACCAATACCATGACCTAGCATAATCTACTATACTAGACTTTACTCCAATATACAATAGGATAGTATATGATAATATTCTAAGCTCTCTCTGTCTCGCTTTTTCTCCTTTGCTCTTTGTTCACTTCGCAGGTGTGGGGCTTCGGCTGTCATGCGGGAACGTGCCTAGGGTGGCTACTATGCGTAGTGTTTGTAGTCTTCTGTGTGGGAGTCCGCTTTTTGAGGAGAAAACGAGATACTCGAAACATGATTCACTTTGATGCCCTTCCAAACTTGCAAACCCCGAAATCCGACTGAAAGTCTAGCTGCCGACGCTCCCCGAAACCTAAAGCCGGGCAGATCCTAAAAGGTTTGTACGACTTAGGGTCGGCAAGCCTCGAGGCACGGAATGAGCGATTTAATTGAGGGCTTTAAGGCTGAGTCGGTGTCCCTGAGTCCGAGCCTCATCCAAGTTGCAGAATGCATGCACCACATCGTTGTTGCTGATTTTTATCAGAATGTCAGAAGATGTCAGAAGTCAGATGTTGCAAGTTAGGTTGCAGATGCCCTAAAAATAGTTATCCTCCCACAGCGAGGCAGAATGTAGAATCTACATCCTCTACAGCCCAAGCCGCAAGCCACATACCCCAAAACCGTAAATCCCAACTTAACCCTACACTCTAAACCCCAACTTTAAAGCCCCAAACCCTTCAACTGACTAGCTCGGAATTTGAATGCTTCAACTCCAACCGATATCTATAAGCCCTAAACACTAAACCCTAAACTAAACCCTAAGCCCTAAACAGCCCCAAGGAACGGCCTCATAACGATGGCCAGCGCCGCCCTCCAGTCCCTGGTGGAGGCGGCGCCCGCGATGCGGGCGACGCATCTGCGGGAGCTCCTCAAGGATGAGAAGAGGCGGCGTTTAGGGCTTGGAGCGTCGTTGGGGTGTTTGTTTATAGGTCTTTTGGAGGGTTTGGGGGGTGTTTTTTGTTTAAGGGATGGTGGTTTCGGCTTCGGGTTCAAGGATCAAGGTCTATATAGTGAAGTTAGCATTAGGGACGGTTTGGGGCTTTGGGTTTTGGAGCGAGGGTAGAGGTTTTAAGATGGGGCACCTTGTGTGTCTGTTTTGTTTTGGCAGAGTGGACTTGGGCAATTAGACCGTTTTGCAGTGTTAGGATTTCGTGTGGCGTGTGTGCAAGCTTCCATCGTTTGTAGCTTTGGGGCGTTGAGCGATGAGGAAGGCGATGTGCGTGCATTTGCAGTGTTTGCTCGCTGCCGTACTGTTGCAGGTGCGATGCAATGATGGTCGAGGCAGAAGGCATCTGCCTGGACTACTGCAGACAAAAAGTGACCCAGGACCGGGTTGGGGATAAGGGAGCATGCCCACAACTCATCCACAACCAACGGATCAGTGACCTTGTGCAGCTGCCTGCATCTTATGAGCCCACGAGATGCATGTTGTCTGGATTGTTGGCCCTGCTAGAGCTGTCCACACCGCACTCCCATCGAGTGCTGTCGTGTAGACGAAGCCGTTTAAAGCATGAGACAACAACACTACTTCAGTTAAACACTGGCATGTGTGAGGTGTGTGGCAGAGGTCGAACCACGTAAGTTGTAAGTAAACCCTGAATCGCCCTTCTAGTGTGGTCTTCTTTAGCCACCGGTACGGGCCGATAGATAGGTTGATAGGAAGGAACAGAGATAGAGGCAGACAGAGAGAGAGGGAGAGATAGAGCGAGACAGAGACAGACAGAGAGGCAGATAGACAGGCAGGCAGACAGACAGACCGACGGACAGACGGACAGACAGACAGACCGACCGACAGACAGAAAGACAGACAGACAGAGGGAGTGAGAGTGCGGAGCGAGAGAGAGAAATAAGCACAAGAATGAGAGATACTAGATGAGGGGCCATCACCGAATTGGGCGCAGCTGGGTTTCGCAATAAGCCAGCAGCTAATCCCTGAACAGTTCTTACATCAAAGCATTGCCACGCCTGTAACCCAAACATCGCCACCCTAAGCCCTACATGATGCCCTGGTCAAGTTGTTCTGCTCTTTTCAATTTTCGGAACCCTAAGGCCCTTGTAGAGTTATTCTCCTCCTTTCGGTGAGGAGACCATGTCCAAGCTTTTCGACCTGGCGAAGGCGATTGGGAAGCTAATCGAGGGGAATCACGGACAAAGGATCTTCCGGATAGTGACTGTAAGGAAGGGAGCCTTTCTGGTTCTTAACCAACTCTAAATGGGACTACATAATATCTCCCATATCAAGTTAAGAACGAGCATGCTTTCCAAAGCCTACTGAAACAGCTTGAAATGATTCAGGCCGCTATGTTGATTTGGAGCTCCATTGCGGTTTGGGGGTAGAGGGATCAGTTGAGGTGCAGGGTTGAGAAATCGGCACGATAGCCTCCAGTTTGCCTTTGACCTGTAGCGTTTCGGTCCTGCGCTCCAGGATGTGTGGCTGCTAACGGGTCCTGGGTTGGATAGGTCGGGGGTGACGTGGCCATCGCTCACTTATAGAAGGTCTATATACCTTATAGAAGCCCTATATACCCTAAACTCCCCACCTGTAGTTTCCTTGAACCATCGCTCACATGCACCCCAAGACTCTCCGAGCTCCGGACTGCCAAAAGGTCGCCGACGTGGAGGGCAAAAAGAAGCGCCTCTTTGCAGGGGCACCCTGCATGCACCTATAGTCGGTTTGTCTTTTGCTGCAGTGCTTTCCGTGTTCTGTGTGCCTGAGTGTTTGTTTTGGGGTGTTTTTCAGCCTGGAGGTATTTGAGATTTTGGATGTTATCCTCACGATGTTACTGCGCTGCTTCTGCTTCTCCTTCTGCCTCTGCTTCTGCTTCTTCGTTATCTTCCTCTACTACTGCTGCTACTACGCCCAGCATGCCAAGGAGAAGATCAACGAAACAGAGGGCCGTGCAGTTCTGCATGTCGCGCTCCGGGCACCGAAGGAGGACGAAGCAGTTGCATGATTGTTAAGGGGGGCTGAGGGTTAATTTTCACATAGACCCCGGATGCACAAACCCTTTCTTGTAAGACTGTCAGACCCTAATGAAAAACTCCCCGAATATGGAACCCCCAAGCATTAGGGAGTGGGTTCATGCCCTGAAAATAGGTCATGGGCCTTTGGGGATATTTCACATTTCCCCGTATTGGGTTGAAGAGGATATCATTTGTGAGCATTTGGCAGAAGCTTTAAGGGGAACACCTGCAAAGCTAAGCAGGAGTATTGCACAAGCCTCTCCAAGCGCAGGAGACCATCAACGTGGATGGCAAGAACGTCGTCCTGGAGGTGCACTCCGTGTTGGACGCGATCAAGGCCCTGTCAATTCTGGTCTTGAGGTCAGGTTTGCGGCATGTAGGGTCTCTGAGTATAGGGGTGTTCGCTTGGTTGTCGGGATCTTGATCCGGAGTCTGTAGATATTAATAACCCCCCCCCCCCCCCC